AGACAGATACAAGGAGAGGGAGACTGCATGGAGGGAAGAGGAGAAAAGCCCCCAGTTACGAAGGACAGCAAGAATAGTAGCTAACACATCTCTAATGCCTGTTTGGGTTAGGCCCTTTGTATAAGTTTATCTTACATAAAACTGGAAATATCTCAGCCAATGTGTTTATATCCCCAATATACAGAAGAGTCTGAAGCTCAGAGAGGTTAAGTAATTTGCCCTAGGCTGCAAAGGCAGTAGCTGATGCAAGAGTCCAAGTTGAGTCGTCTGACCAGCAAGTCCGTTCCCAACCCCACGCTGTCCCCTAACGTGGGTGGATTTGAGACTGATGACACCACTGGTCAGGGAGGGTTCCTAGCAGAATAAGGACGAGAAGGATGCTGGGTTTTGGGAAGAACAGTGGGTCCAGCCCTGCGTTGTCTGTGGAACATCTGGGTGGATGTGCCCAGGAGCCAGGTAGAGATTTGCACCTGAAATGCAGACAAGAGACTGGAGTTGGAAGAGGGTTTGGGAGAGACACTGGGAGAGGTCATTGCTGTGTTAGGAGGTGAAAACCTGTTTATTCACCAAGGGGAGCAGGGGGTCTGCTTGGAAAATGTGCCAGTAGGAGACTCCAAAATATGTCTAAGTACCTTGTGAGAAGAGGAGCAGGGTATGTTTTGCTGGATGTGAGAGTGGGCTAGAAAAACAGGGAGAGAGAAGGAGGGACAGACACAGAGAGATGAGGAAGTCTCTGCTAGCTTTGAGCCCCTCATTGTGACTCCCCAGTCTTTAGGAGAAATACCAAAAGCACACATGCTCAGGATAAGTGGGGTGTGTGTGTGTGAGACAGAGAGAGAGAGAGAAAGCCTTTCATGTCAGGCCCACACTGAGTCCGACAGAGCCTGTGTGCTTAGAGCAGAGGCCCAAGGAGGTGGCACCCGGAAAAGCCAAACGCCAGGAGTTTGCAGAAATCATGGGTGGGGCTCTGGCCTTTCATGGGCTGGGGATTCAAGTCAAATCTGTCAGGTTCTCCACGGAGCAGGGGGGCCGTGGCTGAGAGAAAACAGGGTAGGGAGGGAACTTCAGCCACCACTGAAGAAGCTGCAGTGGAGACCAAATCCAGTGAAGGGGAAGCAAAGGGCAGAACAGAGGGAGGCGGGAGCAACGTTGAACAGACAGGACGAGGGGCTTGGCTCTGCCCCACACCGATTGTTGGGGGTTGAAGAAATCAGCTGAGCACCCCTGGATTTCTTGTCCCCATATGAGAGCCCCAGACCCCGTGACCCCTAGAGCATCTCAAGGGCTGATGCTTGGGGAGGCTGGGCAGGAAGGTAGGTACACCAGGAAGAGCTGCGTGTCCCGTATGAAAAGGTGGGGGTTCCAGGGGGCAGTTTCCGGTGCTGTCAGGCATGGAGACTGAGAAGGTCATGGACTTAGAGTCACCCATGGGTGTGCTGAGGGGCCAGGCCTCTGGGAGGGTAAGTGGTAGGGCCAGATCGCCCTTCTCCTGTCTAGGAGGTTAAGTGTCTTTGACTCCTTTTTTTAAAAAAGTGCCGAGCATAGGTGTGCTCAGCTGGGTAAATGCCTCTGTCCCTGACGTGCGTGCTTGGCAAGGCTGCCCACTTGGGGAGGGCGGCACATTCTGTCCTGGCCGCTGACCCATTTCCCAGCGCCAGGTGACAAAACCCCCACTGCTCAAACTCATGGCTCCAGGGATAATTAGGTTCTGATCAAGCAGCTCCGGGGAGTGACGCTTCCCCTCTGAAACGGATGAAAGCATCCCAGGAGGCAGGAGGGCTGCGACTTCGTGCTGAGTCTCCTTTCCGTCCCTCTGACTTTGACCATCCCAGCGGGCTCCCCACAGTCCCCTGGCCGCACTGTCTCCAGCCAAAGAGGACACTGGGCACCTTCAGACACAAATTCATGAGCCCAGAGGGGCAGACCAAGGGAAGGCCCCCCGCTGCGCTGGTAAGCCCCTCCCCCACTCAGATGCTACCGACACTGTCAGTTCTGCCCTTGGGGAGACCAGTGACCCATTACTTCTGTTCACTCAGCAGAGGCTCACCCGTCCCTTCATTCAGATATTTTTTCAGATGTCTTGTCTTCAGCAAGCTCTTCCCTGCCCCCACCTCATCGAAAATGGACCCTCCATCACCCTCCATCAGTTCACACAGCTTTTTCTTTGTAAGCAGTTCCCATTGCTTGGCGTAGTATATCTTCATCGGCTAGTTTATTTGTTTAATATTGTTTTTCTCATCAGAATGTGGCCTCCGTGAAGGCAGAGACCTTGCCTGTCCTGTTCTCTGCTACCTCTGGGAGGCCTAGAAGAGCTCTTGGCAGTGAATAGTCTCTGGATATATACTGGAGAATGGGTGGATGCATGGATGGCATTGAGGCAGGACGTTTCTGGGGGAGCCCTAGGGCAGAGAGCATCTTGTTTCGTTTTCCGTGCCAGTCCCATTGCCCAGTGCAGCCCCTGGTACATCATATACTCTGAAATATTTGTTGGTGAATAAATAAAAGAAGGAAGGAAGGACCAATGTCCGTTCCAGCAGCCCTGTAGTGTGACTGAGGAAGTGTCCTGAACAGTACTGGGATTTGGAGCACCCGGAATGGGTACCAGTGAATAGGAACAGCTATACCAGGAGAAGTCAGGCACCAAATATGCTCTAAACCCCTGGAGTCACTTGGATGTCTGGTCTGGGAGGAGGCGATTCCTGACACAGAGTGTGAAGGTTGGCTTCTCAAGTTTTATTTTCATCATAGAGTGATGCTTCAGCCCCAAATGACGACTCTGTCAGTAACTGGCTATGTGACCTTAACTGCCTAACAATTCTGGGCTTCATAAATTGTTACTTGGATGAATGAATGAATGATAACATTATGCTGTGGGAACTTTCAGTGGAGCATGGAGGTAGAGGAGAATTAGATCACATGGCAAATTAGATCACATGGCAAATTAGATCATCTCAAAGACGTTCTTCGAGAGTTCATCAACATTCCTATTTTTCAAAAGTATAGAGCAAACTTCCCGACAAGTTAAGAAATCAGGTATATTTAAAAGCAGCAGGGCTGAGCTTGGAAATCAATATGCGAACCTGCTTCTCTCCCCCTTTCCTTTCATTCTACCATTTCCTTGAGTCAAGTTCTCAGCTCATCCACGATCTCAGCTCAGGGTGTTGGTTCATATCCTGTGTCTGAATGGAGGCAGGTGCCTCTTCTGAGCACAGAGGTTGGAATCTCGTGGGTCTTGCTTGGCTTCTACTCAACATAATCCTCATGGAGGTGTTGGGATTGCCATCTCTGATAACCCAGTAAAACCTGGCCCCACTGCCTGCCACGAAAGGGGTGTCAAAGGGTACAACGGCGCCGTTTCATTTGATGGTGACTAGCGAATGTTTTAGTAACTTGAAACCATTAAATCAGGTAACAGGCTCATCTCATCTTCCAAGTGTGCCTGAATTGTTTACATCCGTGTTTATTAGACGAAGTATTTATGCTGTGCTTTCATTTATACGCACCGTTCCCCCATAAACTGCTAACTTTCTTTGGATTCGTCTTCTTTATTCCCTGTCCACGGTTTTGTTCTGCAGCTCCCTTCAGCGGCCAGGCGTGGGATTGCAGAGAGCAGCTTACCCCATAGGCATTGAATGATTGTGTGCCAAGGGAATGTTTCCTTTGGGTGACTTTTGACATATTGTAACTGGGGAGGTTTCACGAAAGAGCTGAGCTTTTTTTTTTTTTTTTTTTTGCCTGAGTGTTTGCAAAACCCATTCCCTCTGCCTGGAGCTGTCTGCCCTTCCACCTCCCACTTGCCCACTCTCTCATTTCATTAAGCCCTAATGATCCGCTAGCTCTCAGTCCAAACATGGCTTCTTCAGGGAAGATATTCCTGAACTCCCTCAGTAGGTCAGGACTCCCTGTCTTATATGCTCATAACACCTGTGCTTTTCTTCTAGAGAAGTGCTGTCCAATAGAAAGGCTATGCAAGCTACCTGTATAATGTTTAACTTTCTAAGAACCACATTTTTTAAAAGTAAAAAAGCAAACAAGGTGAAATTAACACTAATAATGTATTTTACTCAACCCGAGTGTACCAGTTTCCTAGGGCTGCCATAACAAAGCAGCACAAACTGGGGGGCATTTTCTCATACTTCTGGAGGCTGGATGTCTGAAATCAAGGTGTCAGCCAGGTAGGTTCCTTCTGGGTAACATGAGGGAAATGTCTGTTCCGTGCCTGTCTCCTAGCTCCTGGCGGTTTGCTGGAAATCTCTGGCATTCCTTGGCTTATAGACGACATCTCCCTTGAGTCTTCACACTGTCTTCCTGCTTTACGCGTCTCTTTATCTTTGTGTGGTATTCTTTTGATAAGGACTCCAGTCATCATGGATTAGGGACACCCCCTGCTTCAGTATGACCTCATCTTAACTAATGACATCTGCAATGACTCTATTTCCATACAAAGTCGCATTCTGAGGTAATGAGGACTAGGACTTCAACATGGCCCTCTTGGGGGACACAATTCAACCTATAACATCAAAATATTTAAAATACCATTTCATCATGTAATCGACATAAAATTTATTGAGATATTTCTACTTTTCCTCATATTGAGACTTTGACATTTAGTGATGAATATAGCATACAGTGGCATAGTTTATACGGATAAAACTGAATTTTCACTCAAAATACTTCATCTGTACTTAGAGTTCATAAAATTTCCAGTTGAAAAAGCAGATTCACATATCCAGATTTTTCAAAACACATTTTAAAGTTTTCTAATAGCTGGAATGAATACCAAAAGACTCATTTTCCTTTGATATTTGCAGAGGGTAGGCAACCAGTGGGTCTTTGATCCTGAAGGAATCTGTAATGAGCAGTGAAGGTTCTAATAATCCAGATGGGTCACGGCCCCTCCTTTCTGTCCTGCTGTGTGTGGGGGGCGTCCCTTGCTGCCATTATCAGTCCTGTCTGTGACATTACACACCCTTGGGTTTTTTTGTTCCATGAGCCAATCCTTTTTTTTTTTTTTTTGCCAATTTGAGCTGAGTTTTCTGTCACTTGCTACTAAGAATGCAGACTATCATAGCAAACAAGATCTCATTAAATTCTCACGTCAGGAATTACCGTTTCCATTCCACAGGAGTCTGAGGTTGAAAGAACTTAAGTAACGTTCCCAAGTTCGTCCAGCCAGGAAGTGGCAACACTAGGTTCACCTCCATTCCTTTCTGACTCCAAATGCAGGTGACATTTCTCACAGTCCACATCACCTCCTAAGCGCAGGACACATGAGAGCCAGACGAAGTAGGAAAGGCAAGAGAACGGTGAATCAAGGTGCAGAATGACAACGCCAAAGCACAAAGTGTAACAGGGAGTTTCTTATTTCCTGTGCATCAGAAATTGGAAATTAATTGCATTCATGTACATAAGCGGAGGTGAGAACTAAAAAGGGGAGGCTAAGTAAAGACTCTTTAAAAAATGTGTTTTCATTTTTTAAATGAAAATATAGCTCAGTGCTAGAGCACATGCGTAGCATGCATGAGGTCCTGGGTTCAATCCCCACTCCCTCCATTAAAAAAAAAATTAAATAAATAAATAAATAAATCTAATTAACTACCCCCCAAATTTTTTTTAAATGTGCTTTCATGAGTTGGGAGGAATAATTAGAAATTATTGTGTCAAGTGCATGTACACAGGGGCCCTGAAAGTATTGGAGAGTAGTAAAGACAATTTAAGGTTTTACATGATTTTAGCTTTCTCCCTGGATTTGCTCTTTACCCGACTAGCAGTTTTGCAGTTGCCAGTGGCCCTTTGTGAAGCCCACAGGAGATGGATCCATTAGAAAACTTACAGTGGGGTTCAGTGGGGTTCGTCCTCCAGCTCGGTGAATCATTTGGGAGCATCGGAGTGAAGTGGAGGGACTCTGAGGAAAGGAAACTGTTCATCCTGGAGGATGGCAGACCAGGCCAGGAGACATAGCCTCCTCTCAAGCAGAGACTGGGAGGTTGTTCTCACAGAAGATCTCACTAGTCCTCACACCCTTCTCCTGGATGGGGAAAGCGAGGCTCAGAGAGGTTAAGTAACTTGCCCGGGTCACACAGCACACAGTGGGGCAGAGCTGGGCTTCACTGTCCTTCAGAAGCTCAGAAATCTGTGAAGCCTATTGGTGTTTCTTTTTGAATTTCTTCCTTGCTTTCCTTTCTCTCTTCCCTTAGTGCTTCGTTTTGTCATTCTAACTTCTCCAGGCCTCACCACCTTGTGTTCTCATTGAAAGACCTGTGAACACTAACAAGTCTCAGATGTGTTTACAACCCAGTCCCCGATGGAGGGCTCTGGAGCCCTGGAGACGTCAGAAAGCTTCATGACGGGAAGTTGGAAGGACACCCAGCTCCCAGTTTTGTTTACTGCTCTGTTAACTGAGTATTCCAGCACACTGAGTCAACCTAAGCACCTTCCAGGGTTTTTAGGAGAACTGTTTTTTTCTCAGAACAACATGGCACTTTGGGGCTTGCTGTAGCTGCTCTCCCATTTATGGCTGGGTGAACCTGAGCTCACCATTCTCTCTATCAGAGAATCAGTGTCTTCACCTCTAAAGTGGTCAAACAATAGTCCCAACCCCACAGGGGCTGTCAGGTGAATTATACTTAACACTTGGTTTTCCCCCTAATCATGCCCCCATCATTTAATGTGTATTTATATCTGTGCTTTATACATTAAAAAACAAATTTTATCACCCAAGAACCAACTTTCACACTGAGAATCTGTGATCTGTAGCATCTTATATCATCTTTCTGTATCAGCCATTGAATCAAAGTTTCAGTGGCATCTATTTCCAAAGCAAACCATCAGTGCTGAGAACCTGATGAACAGATCACTTGTTTCCCAAGTCACGTTCTTCAAGGGTCCAGGAAACATGGGAGCAGACTGGAAGATCGCTGAGCTACGTCCTTTTGCTTGTTGAATGTGACACAAACCACACCTCTTTTTAAAGTTATAGAATCTGTCCTCTCTGGCTTGCAGTGTAATCTCCTCAGCACTGGTTTGGTCTAACCGCCCGGACTTTTCACAGGCAATCACAGGCCTTAAGGACACGCTCTCGTCTCTGGTATATTGAGAATATTATGTATAAACACATATCTTCTTGCTACTCTGTCCAGTGCAGTCCACAGGGCTGTGGGGGGGGGGGGACAGGAAGTATCTCTTACTTTTGTTGTTGTTGTTCAGCAGCCACAACCCAAGCACGCACAACATTTAGGTAGCGACAATTTGTTAATTACAAAATACCATAATTTGTGAATTACAGAAGTTTGTTCTCCCAAATTGGAAAAAACACTCTTGACAGGGGTCTATTCATTCATTCCAACAGATATTTACTGAACATCTGCTAAATGCCAGGCTGCATCCTAGGCCGGGGGGGGGGGGCGGATTCGGCAGTGAATGAGGCAGTGCACATTCTTGGAGCTTCCCTGCTCTGGTGTGGGAGACAGATGATATGTAAGTAAATGCGTGGGGATGAGCAGCAGGAAGGAAATACAACCAGGCAAGGGCTGGAGAGTCAAGAAGGGAGTGCTGCCTTTTAGGAGAGGCGTTTAATAAGGCGGGGTCATTTGAGGAATGGTTGGGAAGGTCATTCTAAGCAGAGAGATCAGAAGGCAAAGGGCTTGGCACAGAAAAGGGCTTAGTATGTTCAAGGAACAGAAAGGAGGTCAGGTTGCCAGCACAGAGAGATCAAAGTGGGAGTGGGCTGGCTTGACAGCAGACAAGTCAACAGGGGCCTCCCAGCCCACGGTAGGAAGATGGGTTCATTTTCAGTGCCATGGGAAGTCCCTGGAAGGCAGGAGAGCGACCAGATTTGGCCCGTAAAGCAGAGAGTACACATTGCAAGTGAGAAGGGGAGCAGGCTGTAGAAGGGTCCCTATAGGACGTGATGGGGACTTGGACAAGTCACAGTACTAGGTTTGTGGTCTGGAATCTCTATTTTAAATAGTTACCAAAGTACTCAGTCTCAGCATTTTATATTCACCTGTTGTTTAACCAATTTCGAAGGCACTTAGAATATAGATCAGTGGATATGACACATGAACATTAAACATTTATTAATGGCAGCAGGGAGTGAGGTCAGACCCAAAGCATGGTGGAGACAGTGCCATAAGAGTTTAAACAGGTATTGAGTGCCTCCTCTCCTGAGCTAAGCATCTCACATGCTTCACCTCCTGCCTCCGGGGTATGTGCGGTTGGCCCTCTGTACCTGTGGGTTCTGCATCCACAGGTTCAGCCATGTGTATTTCTTGAATTCCCAAAAGTTCCAAAAAGTAAAACTTGGATTGGCTGTGTGTTGGCAACTGTTTAGCATTTACATTGTATTAGGTATTATAAGTAAGAAAGAGATGATTTGAAGGATACAGGAGGATGTGTATCAGTTATGTACAAATACTGTGCCATTTTATACAAGGGACTTGAGCATCATGGCATTTCGGTATCCCCATGAAGCCCTGGAACCAATTCCCCTGAAGATATCAAGGGACAACTGCACTAGTATCCGCAAGTGAGCAAGTGCAGCTAACGAGCTGGTAAGTGACAGCTGGTACGTGACAGACCCAGGGTTTGAACCCAGGCCTATCTGACCCTCGGCTACAGTCCAGCTGGTCAGCTGATTCCTCTCCCACATGAAGATGCCCTCCCAGGACCCTTTCTGGTCTAGGCTTCGTGAGTCAGTGGTGTTGTCCATGTTATCAGAGTCGGCGGGGGTTCTTGGCCCAATAGAGAGGTCACTGAACATCCCTAAGAGAAGGAACTGTCTTCTTTCCTGTATCTCCTACCGACCAGCACACAGCCTGGCTCCTGGGAAGCCTTCAGTGCTATCTGTTCAATGGGGGAAAGAATGAATGAATGAACGCACAAAGTCAAGCCATTCATTCTGTTCCAAACCAGAGGCAGGCTTGCCTTTTTTAAAATACATTGCTCAGGCACAGACTTAGCACGTAACTTGCCTGGAGGTGTGTAGTGGCTGGGTGGACAATTTTCATTCATTTATTCGAACACGAATGTGATAAATATTTAACAAATGCATGTCATGTATAAATTACTGTTGAGTTGAGGCCTTCTCCCCTTCCCAAATAACAGAAAGCTAAGCTGGGGGGTAGGAGTGGGGAATTAAAAACCTGAATACAGCACTTAAAAACTTTGACTCAGGAGTTCCAGTTTGGATGCCTAACCACCTGGACGACCTTGATCCACCGAGACTCAACTGCTTCAGCTGTGAAATGTGGCTGATTGTACTGCTTTCATTAGGTTGAGAGAGCTGATCACTCCCTCCTGGATTCTGTATGGTTAAATTATATCAGTATTGCTATTGCCACTGTTATTATTAGTGTATCACTCGGTCTGAAAAGAATCTTCCTCCTTATCTTTTCCTTTTTCTTTCTCTTCCCCTACCCGTCCCTAGAATGCAGAAAGAAAGCTCTGCCGTTAATTAGGTTGTAAAAACTCTTGCAAATGCATGAGCTCCCATTTTAGAGAATCTCCTTTCCCACTTAACTGATCTGAATCAAGCCTGCTTAATTTAATGAAGACACTAAAGTCATAGCATTCGATATTTTATTTCTCTAATAAAGATCACCAAGTGATGCTAACCAACTCCCAAAGCAAAGAGATTGCTTCTAAGTATTCTAAAGGGCATTTGTCAGAATGCAGCATGATTACCTGTTGAGTACAGGTATTGGATTAAATTCCACCCTATAGATGGAAAGCCAACTTTGACACAAAATAATTGTAACATCATTTACTACAAAAAACTATGACTTGTACTCCTTTGGACTGCATGAAATCACTGCAATTATTTTCTTGGCCTTTTGACTTTGCACTGAGCTTTTACGGTGAGAGGTATTTTGAGAAATGAGTGAAAAAATACAGTGGGTCAGTTCGACCTGCTGTGTCAGCTGAAGAGAGAATACATTGGATGGTTTCATCTTACCGTTTGAAAAAGGAAGTTAAAAAATTAATTTTTTTTTGCTTCTGTAAGAAATGATCATAATTTTGTGGCTTAAAAGGACATAAATTTAATACCTGACAGTTCTGGAGTTCAGAAGCTGTTTCACTAGGCTGAAGGAAGTGCTGGCAGGGCTCTGTTCCTTTCTGGAGGATCCAGAGGGGAGTCCCTTGCCTTTTTCAGCCTCTAGAGGCTGCCTACATTCCTTGGCTGGTGGCCTCTGCCTCCATCTTCAAAGCACATCACTCCAACCTCTGCTTCCAACATCGCATCTCCTGTGTTAGTCTCTGACTCTCCCATCTCCCTCTTATAAGGCCCCTTGTGATTACTGGGCCCATCCGGATGATCCAGAAAAACCCCCTCATCTCAAAACCCTTAATTTAATCACGTCGAGAAAGTCCCTTGTGTCAAATGAGGTACCTTTTTGACAGGTTCCAGGGATTAGGATGTGTCGCCAAATGTGGACGTCTTTGGGGAACCATTATCCCAGCTGCCACAGAGAGGAAAAGAAGAGAGAGGGATGATTCCAGATCTTCTAGGAAATAAGTAGAATGCCGTCCCATCCGCTAGAACATTTTTCTTGAAGCGCATCTCCATGACAGGCTCCGGGTCCTGGGCAGCTTTGTCCTCAATCCGTTCCTCGTCTTTCCCCTGCTCTGCGGTCTAGAGGCAGTTTCCCGGCTCCCACTACGTCAGGGAGCGGCTGACTGAGTTCAGCCAATGAGGGGGACTGAAAGGGTTGGGAGGGTGGAGCAAGGGGGAGGCGGGGCTATTTCCTCCCTCCCTCTCGACCTCCCCAGCCGCGTCTCCCGCAGCCGCAGCCCCTCCCCGCAGAGCCCGGCACGGTTCCCGCGTCACCCCGGGGAGCCTGACCTGCCCCCAGCGGCGAGCATAGCTTCCTGCAGCTGCTAATCTCGGGATTCCCTCTCTGCTTCCTTTGGCCTTCTTGGCTTCTCCCCCAGTGGTGTAACAAATTCCTGCCTTACTTTCCCTCTCTATAAAAACCGCAAGTGATTTCTGATTCCCTAGTTGGTCCCCTATTGATACAGATGCGGAGGAATTCTTTTAAGCAGACTTTGGGGGAAAAGAGACACTTCTTTCAATGATACCGTCGCTGCTCAAATGAGTTCTGAAATTCCTTTCTCTTTGGCAGTTGTCTTAAAACCAAGTTTTCAAGCCCCCGCATAGGACCAGAGTATTAATTTTGGGGGGCTGCCGTAACAAATTCCCACAAACATGGTGGCTTCAAAGAAAATAAATATATTGTCTTAGTTCTGTAGGCCAGAAATCTGAAATCAAGGTGTCAGCAAGGCAGTGCGCCATCTGAAAGAATTAAGAGCAAATCCTAAATATGAAAACGAATATATGTATGTATATGCGTGACTGGGACATTGTGCTGTACACCAGAAATTGACACATTGTAATTGATTGTACTTCAATAAAAATAAATTAATTAATTAAATTTTTTAGAAAAGGAGCGAATCCTTTGTTTGCCTCAGCTTCTACGGGCTCCTGGCGTTCCTCGGCTCATGGCTGCATCACTGTAATCTTTGCCTCTGTGTTCACATGGGCTCCTCTTTGCTGCCTCAGATCTCCCTCTTGTGAGATATTTGTCATTGGATTCACAGCCTACCAGGATATTTATGGATGCTCTTACGTTGAGAAACTTACTTACCTCTTCGAAGACCCTTCTAAATAAGGTCACATTCAGTTTCCTCAGATTAGGACATACACATACCTCTTTGGGGGGGTGGGATGGGGACATCATTCAACTCACTACAACTAGTTTCATTGCTTTATATTCAATTAGGAAAATCATACAAACACATTCATTACCCTACTTGGTCATCAGCTTTATTCACCCCACTCAGCTCTCAGTGTTCTTTGCTGTTTCCAAAAATTAATTCAACTCCTGAAAGATAAGCAATGTGTTAATAATAAATAATGCAAAACCTTATCCTAGCAGCATAAATAGAGAGGGAAAATGATTTGCAGGCTTCTGCAAAAGTTGGTCAATGGAAGAGGTCTGCTTTGACCTCCGCCTTTCACTGCGGCTGAGTTCCCCAATCAGCAGAAGAGAGATTTGGGTCTCTGGACTTGACAAGTAGACTAAGACTTTTCACATTCTTCTCTGCCTTCACTCAGCAGTTGCTTTTTCTGTTTTTTAGTCCAAATGTCTGTTTTCTCGTTTATTCTTAGCACACATTCATCTGCCAAGTTAAATATGGTTAAGACAGCTATTTATCGGTCCTCTGACTATTTTTAAGGGTAAAGGGAGGTCCTTCATAAAGACATCATTTTCCACACAATCATCTGAAAGCTTAATTTATGTCATTGCTTGTGTCCAGGCTCAAGTTGCTGAATGACAAACAGTGATGTAAATGAAGATTTTAGATGACTTTACTGAGATTATACTCCAGTTACTGGCTTGGAGCAAATAGAATCCTTTGCCAAAATATGAGCTGCACTGACTAATGCTCACCAAGAATAAACTAGAAAGAGCATTAGATGTAGAAATGGAACAAGTAATTGCCCTGAGTTTAAAAAAAAGATATGCTTCGTAGATGAGTCAAATTTCATATAATTTTTAATGTAAGGAAGAAGCAAGGTCCGATGGAGAATATTTGTAGAGTCTTTAGAAAGCGGAGGAGAGGGGAAAACCAAGCTTTAAGAGCGCACCCTAGTGACCGGTTCAGCAGTGCTTTTCTCCCCGTGGCTGGTGCCTGGGAAACCTGACCAGTAAAATACTAGCAGGGGACTAGAAAGAGCTTTTGTACAGCATTAATTATAATGTAAAGAAGAAAGAGCCCTTAAAATGTTCTCTCTTATTTCCCTTTTAAATTTGTGAGTAGCCAAATATGAGACTGAGCATGCAAGGATAGGGGTCATTGTAGCCAAACACTAATCCAACACATATTCTATGAAACTTCTAGTAGACTTCCTGTTGATGAATTAAAGCTATGAGCCGCTGTTCTGAGGCCATGATATCCATCTCCAATATTTACGACAACCCTGCCATTTTATAGATAAGGAAATGAGGACTCAGAAAAGCAAAGACTTTACCCAAGGCCACAAATGGAATTATCTCAATTCCAAAATGCCATTGACCATGGGACTCACCATTGATTTCATAACTGCTTTACAGGGAACCACAAAAAAACCCACTTCATTAAATGTACAGCTCTGTTGTAAGATCAATTGTGCTTTCAAAAACATTAAAATTTGAAGGGGAAAAAAGAGCCTCTGAAATATGACAGAACATCAGCCCGGAGGAAGGGCTTTGGATCAAAGTCTTTCTGGTCCAAAGATCCAGGCTCTCTCCACGACAGCCTGCTCACTCCCTGATCTGTGCATCAGGACCAAGAGCAGCGGGTAACACTGAGAACTAGAACTAGCACCACGACTATACAATAAAACCACATGTTGAGTCCTCTCTGTCTCTGGTTAGCTTTTCAGTAATCTGCATAATGAGAATTTTTTTTTAAACCTGATATCAGGCATCATTGATTCATCCACTGCCCCCCACCATCCCTCTCTTTATTCTGCAAATATTGTGAGCCAGACCCCAGGCTGTGTCCTGGAAGAATAGGAGGGAGCAGAACTCTGTCCTCATGTAGCTCACCCATGGGTTGGGGAAGGGAGGCAGGGATATTATCAAGTAATCACTCAAACCAACAAAAAGCTAGAAGTTGGCATGTGCTCTGTGGGAGAGGTTCACAGTGCCCTGAAAGCCCGTCTAGGGGGATTGGATCTACTAGAGGAGATCTTGGATGGCATTCCTGAACCAAGTTCTGGGAAGAGTTACTGTCTCTCTGAGAGGAAAGAAGAGCATGTTCAGCAAAGCAGAGTGTGTGCAAAGGCCCTGTGGTGAGTGAGAGCAGGATGAGTACAAGGAAGTGGAAGCAGGCCAGTGTCACTGAAGGGCAGAGAGTGAGGAAGCTAGCAAGATGGCAGGGGCATCCTGGAGGGTTTCCAAGGTCACTAAGCCATTGTCCAGAACAGCAGGTAAGAGTTTGGATTCTGGAGACTGTTTTCTTGGGTTCAAGTCCCCACTCAACCCCTTATTAGCTGTGTTACTTAATCCCTCTGTTTGCTCATGTGAAATATGAGACTATTAATGGGAGGATTAAATTAATGAACAGGGTGTGTGTAAAACTTTCTAGAATAGTGCATGGCACACGTTTGGCACCATATGCATATTTGCTATGATTCTAAGAGCAACAGCGAGACAGAGCAGCTTAGCGGCAAGAAGGTGACATCATCAGGTTTGGATTTCAAAAAGGTCACTCTAGCCTTTGTGTAGAAGATGGGCTGTAGAGAGGCCAGAAGCTGTGGGCTGGCCAATTAGAACTGTCACAATAGTCCCAGCAACACTTGGAGCAGGAGGGTGGAGTGGTGGTGGGAAGAAGGGGACAGAATGAAGAGATAGGAGACAAAATCAACAAGACCTGCAGAGAGGAAGAGAAGATCTCATCCCAGTCTGTCATCATCCTTACCCCTTGACAACTACAAAAACCCATGCGAGGAGGACTCAGAGACAGAAGCAAGAAGTCAATTTGCTAAGTATTGCAAGGAAGCCAGAAAATAAAAACACAATTGATATTTAAACCAACCAAACAAAAAAACCCTGTGAAACTACCAAGGTTACCAAGTTTTCAGTCATCTGTTCATGGTGGAATAACAGCCGTTTTCAGGCGTAATTAGCATCTCCACATCTGCAGGCATAAGTGTCACACGAGTCAGGGATAAAGGCATTTTGCGAGGTAATCAGCAACTGTCAGGAAATACTCAAGGACTCATTTATTTTGGGTACTAGAACTAGATAGAGTGATCTCGTTGTTTTGTTGTTTTCTTTTGCTGTTATTTTATCAACGAATGCAAAGTGTTTTACATTTCTTCCCTCTATGGGGTGTTGTGGGTTACTTATTTGTCCCTGGTGCAGGTGTGAGAAGCATCATTTTTACTTCTATGCTCTCTGTCCCCCACTCCCTACTGCCACCCTCAGTGTGGAGGGGCCTTCTGCTCTGCACCGCCATCTCCAGTCTTTTCTGAGCCCTCCTGCCATATAAGAGGTCCTCAAGAAACTCCCTGAGCTCTTCTCTGGCAAAGGGTTTCCTACATGCAAAGGCCTTTGAGCAGCAGAAATTCAGGACCATGGGGAGAAGGTAGCTGGAAAACTTCTAGCCATGATTTAGAGTCCTGGTAAGGTAATGTAACGGATTGAATAGTGTCCCCTGAATTCACATCCACATGAAACCTCGGAATGTGAGCTTATTTGGAAAGAGGATCTTTGCAGGTATAAATAGTTAAATGAAACCATCCTGGATTGGATTTGGGCCCCACAATCCATGATTTGTGTCTTTGTAAAACAAGGAAAAGAAACAGAGAAACACAAAGAAGATAATGTGAAGATGGAGGCAGAATTTGGAGTGATGGGTCTGCAAGCCAAGGAAGGCCAGGAGCTGGGACAGAGGTAAGAAGAAGCCAGGAAGGATGCTCGCCTAGGACTCTGGAAGGGCACATGGCCTTGCTGGCACCTGGATTTTGGTGAGAGAATATATTTCTGTTGTTTAAGCCACCAGGTTTGTGGTCATTTGTTACAGCAGCGCTAAGAAACTAAGACAGATGGCAGTTGGAGCAGGTGATGGAGAGGGACAGAAGAATGGCATAGGAATGGGTGGCTTCAAGGAGAGGAAGTTAAGGTCTGAATCAGGGACCCCTATCTCACCCATCTCAACAGACTGACTTCCACCCTGGGCCAGGCTGTGATTTCAGAATCAGAGAGAAGATTGTTGAACAATTAAATA